ATATAGATGCTATTAGTAGTATTATCTATGTATCAGCCACAGTGAAGCGTAGACGGGTATAACTAAACTAACTATAAAACTGATAAAATTGAAAATTTTATGTGGTCTATGGAAAAAGTATTGAAGAAGAGCAATAGTTTTTAAGAATTTAGGTAAGTCAATATGCAATATTTGTAACATTGTTCATAATTTTAACCAATAGTTGTCTGCCCATTATTCAGGCCTCTTAATACGAAGAGTTTCCCGCAAACGACGCATGATACTCAAATAGTATTCCTTGTTGACAGTTGATAATCGAAGAAAACTGTGACCAGAACCTAGGTTTTTAACATCTTTTGACTTGGTTTTTTGGATTTTTGTGCCGATTGCGATTTCGATGATCGTCTGCTTCTGGGTAGTGTGTATAGATCTAGTAATAATACGTTTCATGACATCCTGGTAGTCGGAAAGCATTGCCTCACAGACGTTAACGCGACGCTGTTTAAAAACAAAATTAGTGATTTTGGAAGAGATTGTGCTTTCACTGTTCATAAGCTCAAATAATCGTTCAAAATGGGATTCTCAAGTACCTACTCCTTTATTTTATTGACGTGTTGATGGCCGTCTAGACGTGGTGCGTTCTCGACCCGCCTTAAATAATTTGKACCAATCAAAAACAATAGTGAGCAACAAATAATTATCAAGGCCTTTTCAACATTCTGAACTTCTTCTTCTTCTTTTTGAATAATTTCACTCAACAAAAAATCGTCGAATGCATTTCATGTACTCCAGAAAAACAAGCCTATACTATCATTAATGATTATTTTGATAAGAGTTTGGTCACAGATGTCATTGATAGTCATACCAACAAAAAAAATTTCGACGAATAGATTTCCGCATGAAATTTAAATTAAAAAGTCTTACAATTTTTTGCCATAGTATCATCTAGATTATTAATTTTCTGAGTGCTCTTTGTGCAGCATTATAAAAGTAGTTTGTTTTTAGTTAAAATAAATTTTAAAATTTATTTAAAATACACATTGTAGTATATGCTAAAGTATAAAAATGTTCACAAAAGTTGTAGTTTTGTTTTTGTTTGTTTTCAATTAAAATACAATATAAAAACTTTAACTAATTCCTATGAGCTATTAAATATAATGTTGAAGTRCATCATTTTGTCGCTATACAATTTTTTCGTTTCTACTTACAAACTTATGTAATTTACAATAGTTATTGGCACTGTGAATTATATTTTACGTATTCTAGATTCACCAGGGAAAACATAAAGCCCGCTTAAARTGCGTTAACTAATTCCAGCGCTCATATAGCCATGTGCAACACTCTGAACTGAGCCTTCACACACACGTTCTATATGTATGTATGTCTGTATGCATTGCAGGACTTTTAGACTCAATTCTGACTGTAACGTAACACACATTTGCAGCAGCTGGGCATTTTTACTTGCTCCTCCCGCAGCTTGCCGTCTACCGACACAACCATAGTTCTATAGATGTAATTCTGCTTACAACGCGATGTGTAGAATTTCGGCAATAACTCCTGAAATCGACAGGGCTTGTCCTCATCGCTGTAGTTGAACAAAAGAGTTACGATAAGTTATTTCTAGAATTTGCGTTATCTAGGCTTACTCGCACTGTTCCACCAAAATACCCTGCTTGTGGTTCTCGTGTTGCACGACCAACAGCCATTTGGATTCCATCGTTTCCGCAGATTTCGGATATATTAAATGCGATCTGCTGGTGCAATAGTACTCCTCCTGCGGATCCGAGTTCATACGTTGCGTTATGTCTGGCGGTGGCACGACATCATCTTTGAAATATGATTTGAATTTCTCAAAATTGTCCTCATCAATTTTATCCAACCGCGAAGACTCCAAATAATTTGGCACGTCCAAACAATATGGTTTTCCCTTCAGTCGTTCACGGCAGAGATACCCATCTGTAAGCAATGGCCCATGCATTATGAAACATTGATTTTATCATAAACTCTATGAAAGCATAATTATATTGATTGTTAATTACCATCGGAAAAGATAATCGCGTCATTATTGCGATTGYTGTGTTGTATATTTTGGTTATTATTGTAGTTGTTATTGGTGGGTGTACCTGCAGTTGTCGTCTGGAAAATGAGAAAATCGTTAAAAATCACGTTCAGTTTGCCGTCGGGTGATCTTTGCACTTTAAACATAACATCAGTTTGTGCCGATTGCGAAGTGTCCTATATGGAATAGATTGAAAAGGAGAAACAAACAGAAAGCGAAAGGAAAAGTGGTAAGATAGTAAGTGTAAGCGAGAGGAAGCTTTATACTAGTTCATAGGAGAGAGGCAAGTGGAAAAGCATGTTAAGAAAGAGTGTGTGTTAGCAAAGCAAATTGCATGTGTCTTAAAAGCATTAAGCCTTGTGAGACTTACGTTGAAAAGTACAAGTCCCGTRTCACTACCAATTTTGAAAATTCGATCCAAATTCGCTTCGAAATCTTTTGTTACCTGCAGAGTTTTGAAAATTATAAAGCATTTCGTTTAAATAACTCAAAAGTTAAGTTGATTGGATTCTGCGTCTAACCTTCTTAGCTTCATTGGGCGAGCGTTTTTGGCGATTTGCGCGATAATCGTAAGTATASCCAGCAATGGGGCTAACTATCTGAAAGAGTTAGACATGTGCGTCGGTTAGAAAACACTGAATAATTTTGAATAATTTTTTTTTAATTGTAACAGTTAATATACCAATTAATAYCAAATGGATACAAATACAAAATAGTGTTGTTGTGAGTTAATTACTTTTTTAAATTATTAGGTTTTACAAAACATTTAAGTGTTCCACTGTATTCGAGTGATCGAGGCTCCACACCATATTTCTTTAATAATTAACTATTTAACTAGAAATTTTAAGAGAAATTGTTATTTGTCCATATTATTTAGTGTAACTTCGAAACGAACTACGTATTTGTTGATAAAACAACTAACTAACAGTTGACCTTAATAAAGCCAGGCATTTTCCTAATTGAAGTCTCTGATACTGGCTACATTCTTTGAATTGAAAGTGTGAACTGACCGAAAACCGAACTATTCTTGATATAGTCGATATTTTTCTTTTAAAATAAATGCAAAATAACCATYTTTCATAAGTTTACAGGCGAAGGATAAACGATARAATAGAAACCACTCATTATGAAAATTTGAATTTTGGTTATGAAATGTTTATATGTATTGTTATATCTGACAGCGGGAGCTTACGATTTTATGATACATACGTATAYGTAATACGATGTAGTAAATCGTAAGCAATAAAAAAACTTAATGTCGATTTTTTGATGACATGTAATTTTGCATTTCAGGTGACGATATATTGAATATCGTCTACTTAAAATCAGATACTATAGTAGACAATCTTCTTMACATTCATCGAAACCTTTGGAATTTAGTATTAATATTGGAAATTGATAACAGTTTTGTGAGATTATAAATTCWTGTAGTTTAGCGAGTGGGCGAAACAAAATTTCCCTTTAAGTAAYAGTAATTAAGAAAATGCTGTGACAATTACACAAAAGCCGTGGGTTGATGGATAATGATTTCTATATTGCGGTTGAAAATGTCGTTATAAGGCGCATAAAGATACGCCACTTACTTTACGAATTATATGAAGACCTTTTTAAAATGTTTGTAGGCACAAATGAACTAAGCAACAAACAAAGTTAAGAACGAAAAGTAACTGCTCCAACCATACCATTCACCTGGTACAAAAATTCCTTAATTTACAAACACTAAGCCAACTACAAGCAGATAATTGGGAATACTAAAATATACAAAATTTTTATTACCATAGTATATAGACTAATATAAGATTGGGTTCTATTTTAATGTTTTTTGAATTAAGTTAAGGATTAGCCTTAGTAACACATAAATTTGTTTATGATCATAAAAAATKTTGAAAATATTTAGCATCGAAACGAATAGGGTCAAACTAATGGTAAGCAAAGCATGCTAGAGTAGGCAAAAGCTTTAMATTTTGTCTGTACAAATAATATATTTCTAATTTAGTTCCTTCTACTTATGTTCCAAAGTTTATATTACAAAACGTGTGAAGGATCTTCTATTTTGTAATAATTAGTTGAGTTTTTGTTTCGCCTACGAGTAATGGAGTGGGTAGCTAAAGAATGTGGGAAAGTGGCGTTAATGAAAAACTTGATATTTCGAGAATGTTTGTTTATCGTACTATTGAAAGAATACGTTATAATCTAATTTCTATAACAGCTTGCCCTTGTAACAGAACTTTTGGCACGCCTATTGTGATAAAAAAGCAAAGTTAGTAAGTGTAATTAAATTCCCCGGGTAAATGATATTTGAAAAGAAAAAATAATCCTTAATTAATATAGCATCGGGCCACGATTGTGACCAAATTTAAAGCCAAACACGCAATGAGTACCAACGATCAACCCCTGTACTTGCTTGCCACAATRCACATTCTTATGTATGTAAAGATGAAGAAGCACTCAATAATCTTTGAAAAYATACTTGTCTCGTAATTACTCTCAGCCAAATGCAAAATGAATATGATCCTTATAGATCCATTAGAGAACCATATTCAGATAATGCAGTGATTTTTTTTATACTGACGTTTCAACATATACTTAAATGTTAATATAAGAAATGAGCGAAAAAATTTGTTTCAATAAAGGGATGGCAAGAGATTGGCTRATTTTTCGGATGCCTTTAATTTCTTAATTCTTCAATTAAACAGTAAGCATCAGGAAACCACCTGCAGCTTCAACGCATATTATATTCCGCGCTACGAAAAACAAACAAATGGAAACAATTCAAACAGCTGATTGCCGCAYTCATAAATGGGCGTATATTATGTAGCCTAATGGGCCGACACACACTATTGTAACTAGATTGTAGCGTGGCTGAAACGCATAACAATTACTGTCCAAGTCATAACCGGCTTATTAGGCGTTGAGTAGCACTAAACACTACTCACAGTGAGTAATGTGGTCTCAATTAACACACGGAGCACACTTGAAGCAATACTTCAGTTTGGCTCTTTATCGAAAATATTTCAATACTCATGAGTTTTGTGAGCACACATTTTATCAGCAMATGAAATAATAAAAACAAAACTGTTGCGTAAAAGAGTGTACAATTAGTGTTACGCTCTTGAGTGGGTTAAATGAGCACTGAGACTGAAATCATCACAATATTCGAGTGCATTACGAAAGTAGTTAATGATGATGCGATAAATGAGCATTATAAATTTTACAATATTTATTACTTGGTGCCGAGCGATTAAAAACGCCAAAATTTTAAACAAGAAACGTTTTTTAAATCAGTTTTAAGCGTAAAGCCCAAAAGGCAAGATATAAACTAACTTCTCGGACTTTAAGATACTTATATCATTACATGATCAGTGATCACCCTAATTGATGAAGGTTAAACACTACTTTATTACAATATAGTTAATATACATATACTGATGCTGTATGAGCGCATCTTTTTACAGAGTTGTAGGCCTTCGTATTTCCTACTACCGCGACTACTTTCGTAAAAGCATAGCCCGCGCTGGTCTACTGTAAAGAGTACATACAGACAGGTTCTTGGGTATATGTAATATCACTGCTAATGACTCACTCTAGGCGTTTTTAAATGCGACTTACTGCGTTCATTCATTATTTTGGTTTATTTCGTCAGTGCGACTGGATTTTGAACAGTTCGACAAGATTTTGCGGTTTTCACTGTCAGCACGATTTTAACCGCATACTGACTTCAAGGCTATTTAATGGGACATTTAAGCACTTTATTGATGCTTACATCCATACCGACAATTGTGTAAATGTAAGAATGAGAATATAAACATCAGGGTGAATAAATAAAAAAATAAGGACATGAAGTCACTTATGAATTCTGCAGAAAATCAATTTTTGCAGTAAATTAATGAAACGGCAGAAGAGACGTGGCAGTTTGAAAAAAACTCATAAATGGCGCTACCAGAATTAAAGCCATATGATTTATAGTTAGCACTAACCTTCAAAAGGCGCGTATATAAAACTGACAGCTGTTGAATCATTAGTTTGTGAATTATATAATTTTGAATGAAGCAACTTTTGTTATTATGAAAAAGGTTTTCTCGTCCTGATAAAATATTGCTTTTTGAATGAAAAAAATATAGTTAAAGCCTCAGGAAAATCAAACTTCAATGATTGGTATGCTCAGTTTAGACATGGTGGAATGAACACCGAAGACGGTGAACGCACTGGACACCCAAAAGAGGCCGTTAAAGACGAAAACATCAAAAAAGTCCTTAAAATAATTTTGAATGATCGTAAATTGAAGTTGTTCGAGATAGCAGACATTCTCAAGATATCCACTGAACATGTCTGTATCACATGTCACGAATAATTGCACATGAGAAAGCCCTGTGCAAAGTGTATGCCACTCGAGCTCACTTTTGACCAAAAACAAYGATGAGTTGACGATTCGGAGCCGTGTTTGGGTATGTTCAAGTCTAATAAATCTAAGTTTTTGCGCCGATTTSTGACAATGGATGARACATGGCTCCATCATTTCACTGCGAAGTCCAATCGACCGTCAACTTAGTGCTGTCAAGGTTACAGCGCCTGTAGTTTAGGATGCGCATGGAATCATTTTTATTGACAAAAGAAAGGACTGTCAACAGCCAGTATTTACAGGCCGTTTGAAGGACGAAATCACTCAAAAATGGCGGAGAAAAAGATAGTGCTCTTATACCCATACACCATGTTACAAGTTAGTGAAAATAATGGCAAAAATCTCCAGATTCTCCAGATCTGGCGTCCAGCGACTATTGCTTGTTCGAAGATTTCAAARGAATGCTCGCTGRGAAGAAATTTTCGTGGAATGAAGAGGTGATCATCGAAATTGAGGCACATTTTGAAGCAAAGRTAAAAAAATAGTACTTCGAAAACATTAAGAAATAGTTGGAGGATCGCTATAATCAYTCTCGAATGGAATAAATGGAGTTTTGTCAAGAAAATGTTTTTTACTATGGTATTCATATATTAGAACTTAAATAAAGTTTGAAAAATATTTKCTTACACAGATAATATGTGAACGGAGACTAGCTGAACCAAAATGGTTAGGTTCYCGCAAATCCATTGTTCATAGTATCAATTGCTTGTGTAGAAAAATTATCAGCTTATTAATATACTACGACTTGAGGTTCGGAATATAGTGCTGGTTTAAACTAGTGTGGGGCCTGTAGCAAATTCTCTAAAGAGGCCCTTGGTTTGCTATAGGCGCTCAAGTTTAGGGTATTAAATAAAACAAAATTGTTAAGAATAAAGTCTTCTGGATTTATTATGGGCAAATTTAGAGATAATACTTTCTATATCGACTTCTTTAAGCAAGTCATGCTCTATATTCAACGAAGTGAGATAATTAATACGTTCTTTACCCATCGTGTTCCTTAATTCATTTTTAATACGTTTTAATGTTGAAAAAGAACGTTCGCCACAACAGTTAGTAATCATGAGAAATAAGTAAATTCGCAAAGCAATTTTTAAGTTAGGGAAAAACGATTCTAAAGACGTATTTAATAAAAGTTTATTAAAAAATGGAAGGTAACAAGAATATCGCTAAACCATTATTTTCAATAAAAATATGGTAAAA